AATAAAGACTCATGGTCTTTCCTCCTCTTTCTATCTTTCCTCTACATTTAGCAGTGTATATCAAAATGTATTTTCAAGATCACCTCATTCTTGTTCATATGAACAGAACATTTCATATTATACACGTCTGTAACAATTTAGGTCTAACTAGGTTTCGAAATGTTTTTGAAAGATAATTCATACAAATCCTAAAAAGTCTTCCTTGGAACCATTTGACTGTACAAACAACAACAGGATAAACTGGGAGGAGGAAGGAAGAAGAAAAACAAAAAACTTACTGTCAAGAAATGCTAGTCAAAGACTATCACAGATTACCAGCACCGCATGCTCTGTAAGATTTGCTTTGAGCAGCTGAGAATGCGGATCAAAGCACGGATGTGGGCTTTCATTCCGTCTGGGAAGAAAACAATGCAAGCCTTTGAGATATCGTCCAGGAAAAAGAAAAATTCTGGCCTGAAATACTTATTGTAATAACTGCAAGCTAGGATTAGGATGTGTGAGGGTTCTGTTGTTTTTATAGTTATATGTATCCTTATGACAAATGCTGCATATTGCTAATAACTTTAGGTCCAGAATGTTTCCTCTTATGCACAGGAATAAAAATCGTGTAAAGGGGTAAATAAAAACTACTTGTTTAAACCCTTATATAGGTTTATTCTTTCGGAAGTATATAGCACTACTTCTTGCTACACGTTCCCACTTAGAGTTTTTGTTGTCATATGAATAATTGGTACACACATTGGTATCTTGAAACATGTTCTACATTATTCCTTGAATTTTATCTTCAACTGAGTCACTCCAAATCTTCCCAAAACTCCTACAACAGTTTGATCTTGACTAAGAGGCATCAGTACCATGTTCTGTCCCCTTGCTAATGCTCATCTCTTCCAGTTCAAGAGCAGTTACTATAACATTACAGAATTTTTAAAATACTGGTAAAATCTGAGGATGCCATCTGGCTGTAGTTCACAAAGTGCATCAAATTTCAGGATCCCTGAAATTAAACTACTGAACTACTTTTAAGCTACTTAAACTACTTTTAACTAAAGTTAAAACTAATTTATTCAAAACCTAAACATTAATTTTCACTTTTCTCTGCCTTCAGAATTTTAGAGTCTGAGTGTTTTTCTTTTTTTTTTTTTTT